GCTCCCAGGCTGGAACTGATGCTCTTATTCTTACAAAGAAAACTAATTGTATGATCTGGATGCTTGTGATGAGTAACAGATTCATGTACGCACCTGAACACCACCAACCTCTCCCTCTGCGACCTTTACACCCTATAAGCAACAGGACAGCTTGCACCCTCTCCCACAAGCTGTGAGGGCCTTGCCCTGCAATCCTTCCCGACTCACCTGGGTGCTTTTCCTCTCCACCTTGCCAACCCCCACTTTCTCAATGGGCACTTGGAGCCAGGAGTAAGACAGATGGTGTCAGGGAGACAGCTCAGTAGAATAAATGCTTGCCTGGCAAGCGCAAGGGCCTGAGTTCAATCCCAGGTTCTGCCAAAAAATAAAACAGACGGTGTCTTCTCTCCTGTCCAGGTTTGGAAAGCTGCTCCTGCTCCTCCCGGCTCTGAGGTGCCTCACTTCTGAGCGCATTGAGCACGTCTTTTTTTGCAAGACCATAGGGAACACCCCCATGGAGAAGCTGCTTTGCGACATGTTCAAAAACTAGGAGGAGTGGAAGGTTTCCAACCATCCTGCAAAGCCATCTCCCAAGGCGAAACATCTGTCTACCTTTGACCCAGAGTTCCACTCTTAGGGTGTGGTCCTGGCAGAGATGTACCCTGGAAGACATGGACAGACAGCACCTGCCAGCACATGCAAGGCCCTGGGCTCCACCCCCAGCACCCCCACCCCCACAACAAAAGAAGAATATTAATAGTGGCTTTTAACAGTCCCAAACACTATACTGATGGAATGACTTATAATGTATGTTGTTATACAGTATACGTATTAAAATATATTCATATAGTGACAATCCACAACAAAAATGAACTAGTTATAGAGGTTACAACATGACTTTTAAAAAAAAATTTAGAGTAAAAATGATACAGAATTTCAAAACCAGATGTTAGGAAATTAACAATGATTGTTACACTGCATATTGATATCTTCAAAGTAATTGTTCAGAGTACCAGATATGGGTGTGCAAAATTGATGGATCAACTAGACATTAACTGTTACTTTCAATAAGCCAATAGAAATTAGTAATACAATTAACTTAGCTAACATAAATAATTTCCCCCTTTTTTTCTCCTTTCCCTCATCGCAATTGTTCTTTTGTTTGAGCAGTTGCTTTCCCTGTCACAGTATCTATTGTACCTTTTGGATTTTATTTACTTTTTCAGTTTCTTACGCTAGGAAGATAATACAATGTTTACACATGTAGGTCTGATTTATTTCACTTATAAGTATGATCCCTAGTTGAGTCTATTTACCTACAAAGGCCTCGAGTTTATCTTTCTTTATAGCTGAGTAGTCTATTACATAAAAACACATCTTTTTTTATCCAATCCTCAGATGATGGGCATTTGGGTTGCTTCCAAGATTTAGCTATGACAAACTGTGCTGCTATAAACATGGACGCACATATATTTCTGTGGTATGATGTTTTCAGTTCTGGAAAAATACCCAGAAGGAAAGCAGCTGGGTTGAATGGAACCTCTAATCCTAGTTTTCTGAAGCATCTCCACACTGATTTTCCTTTTTTTTTTTTTCCTGTACCAGGGATCAAACTCGGGACCTTGCACTTGCCAGGCAGGCACTTCAGCTACTGAGCCATATCCCCGGCCCCACTACACTGATTTTCACAGTAGTTGTACCAGACTACATTCCCACCAACAGTGTGAAAGGTTTCCTTTTTCCCCACAGCCTCATCAGCATGTTATGGGTTGATTTCTTTTTCTCTCTTTTTTTTTTTT